AAAATAAGTTCGAAAACAAGGAAAGGTTTATCTGTCGTATTAGCATAAAAGAAGAGGCTATTTAGGTGGGGGTTGAGGTATCAAAATAGGGTTTTAAGTAAGTATTTGTCCCTCTGTACATCCAACTATCCATTTTATAGTGCCTGCAAGAGCTTGATTCACCGGGTTAATTTTGGCTAATTTAAGCTTTCTACCGGATATCGAGAAGAATCCAGGACCTTCAGTTTATTTAGATCATGCTACAAAAACAATTCATGCTCCATTCTGTCAAGGAAACTTTGTAGTATTTGGGGAAAATGCAGGACAACAATGTGTTGCAATTAGTTTAAACGCTTTAATTTATAAGACTTTACAGTAAGATAAGAATGATTAGTTTAGTCGATGATACTGATTCAAATAATGACTGTTGGTAACCAATTATATTCTAATCTGTCATTGCTTGCAAGACAATCTATGTTAATGTTAAAAGACTTGCCAGAAATGGTTACAGTGTTTGAGCGATTTTTCCAGCTTGAATGCAGTGAAAGTTATACTTGTAACATGCACGGTGATGCCAGAATTGAGGGGTATCACTACTGTATGCCACTTGAAACACTCTTGGTTCTGAACTAAAACTCATTCATTTTAACTGTGGGAATTTTTGGAGTTGATTCTGATGCTAGAGATATGTATGGTAACAGTCATAGTCAAGGTACATGTGTATTGTTGGAAATGCCATTCATTCATAAATTAGTACAATATTTTCAGCGTCCATATTCATGTAGGAATGAGGACATAATTTATACGAGCTTAAAGGAGTACGTATTGCCAACTTTGAAGCTGATCTTTGTTCAAGAATTCTTGAATACCGTAGTACATTTATCAAATGTTAATAGTTTATACCAATGTTCTTGTAAACAGTGCTGTGCTATAGCAGTTTATACAATAAGTTACTCTGTTATTAATCCATGTGGATACTGGACTTTCGGGAACTTTATCTGCCATTACTAGTGATGGGCCTGAATACATTGTACAATGTGATGGGTGTGAAAAGACATGTTATACCAATTGATCTTTCTAAAAGTGAGAGTATCAGTGGAGTTGAGATAAACCTTACCGTTTGTGCTATAAGCAATGGTGTCCTATGTTGCAATTTGGCAATTTGTGTTGAAGATGTGCATTTCAAAACATTGTCATGAGGCGACAGGATTTTTGTTGTGGATTGGAACATATTGTATATTAAGCTGTGTAGTTCAGCGAGGGAGTAGAGTAAAGGATTTATCTTTTCTTGTAGGATACGATGACAGTTCGTTAGGTAAAATAAGACTTGTTGAAAGTATCAAAAGCATACATTCATTAGTTGAAGAAATTTGTAAAATTACACAAAGTAAGTTAAATTGTCCAAGACTACGATATGAAATACACTTTATATTATGCTCATGCAAAATAGAAAGCAGTAAAAGGAAAACGATTGCGAGAAAACACAGGTATAGTTCATTTGAGTATTGTGAGATGGAACCTCTTAAAAAGAAACATTTAGTTACAAGGAGAAAAGAAAACAGGCAGAGCGGGGTATAGATTTTTGCATTGAACAGTATGAAACCAAAATGAGAAAAGGTCCCTGTTATATATGTTGTGTTTGTAATCGATTACTTTATAAGAGATCAGTTCACATTTTTGGCAGACGTAAATATTTGTGTCAAAATCTTTTGAGTGTGCAGTCTTCATTTGATGGAAAACAGTAAGTTTGTAAAACATGTCACTTAATACAGACGTTTTCTATCAACACTTCAGTGCCACTATTAACAGAGTTTGACTCTATTACCAACATCCAATAAAAACAACCCCATGTAGAAACCCAGCAACTACCTCACAAACTACAGCCATTTTCTTACCAATCAACTTCCAGTATAACCCCACGCCTACTACTTCACACACCTCAACTAACCCCTCAAACATACAATACCACTGCACTACCCACATATCCCTCATACACGTAACAAACTTCACGTACGCTTAGTACAACCACGTCCAAATATACGCTCCCACAGCGTCTTGTTTACAAATTACAATAACAATATCCATGATAAAGTTTATTTTCTTTTTGACAATACTGATTCACATATCAGCAGGCTAACTGCTAATTTCGTCTTTCAAGCATTTGAAAGACGAAAAAAACATAATTAATTCTACCATTCCCTTATATCTTCATTTCCTTGAATTTAGCTGTTTATTGTTATTTTAATCGGTAACACCTGTACAAAATGGTAATACTGAATAAACTTGTTGTTGTTGTTGGCATGACTTCCGGTAATGCGTCTATACTGAACTCTAATCACGAATAATAGTGATTTCTTTCTCTATACAAAGGCAGCTGTAAAGGTTATGATCTAATTAGGCAGTACCTGGAGCCGATTACTTCTGGCAGTGCCCATACAACTTTTGCAAAATAGCATATAATAATTCAAAGTAAGCATAGGGGCGGAGGTTCTGTGAGTTAATAAGTTCCGGTTTTAGTCCTGAGAAATACAACAATTAGGAACACGCCTGCTCTGTGAACTTTTCCATGACGTTTTAGCAGCTCGCTAGATCAGCAACGCTCAGCCACAAAACATCCATATATAAATCCTGCTCGTGCGTTTTGCAGTGTTACAAAGCTTAAGTGATCCTCTTTTAGCATAGGACATCGTACAGCATAACATAAGCCGCAAAGATTTAAGGTAGGCTAAGCTATATATTTCCTAAGCTCTGACTTGACTGACAAATATATCAACTTTTTCTAATCGTACAACATGTGTATGTATATACATGTACTACCTTTTTTACTGCAACCGATCTATTGGGTATATCGATTTGAGCAATTGTCATATTCCGCCAATATCGTGTACATATGTTTACGCTAACATGAAATGTTGCTAAATGTAGCTATAAATGTTACGCAAATTACTACAGCACGAAGGTTGCAGCTTCGCGACCTGAAGTTGGATATCTTTTCAAAAATACTTTATCTGAGACTGATTACTCAACTGAGAGTGTCTAAATATTGGGCTGCATAGAGGAAGAATGGGCAAAAAAATGCCTTTCATTTCATGCCACACTTGTTGAAAGTAACAACAAGTAGATGCTTTATTACGTTTGCGTCGTTGGGAAAATTGGAACCGTAAACTGAGATAGTGAGTCACACGGACTTGCAATGGAAAGATCGATATACAACAGGAAATGTAATAATTTTATCAAAATTATGTGAACGTTAACTACACATAACTTGTATCAGTGTTTGTTTATAAACTTGTAACGAAATGTTGAAAGAGTGTATCTTAAAGAGCTGAGTTAGCTTTCAATAAACAACATCAGAGGTTTTCCTTCTTTTAACTAAGCAAATCTAATTTCTGTCGATTGGAGTCTAACATTTAATTTAGACGGTCAGTCATGCATACTGGGCAATTATTTCCTGCGGTTTGTTTCTCAAAGAATTTGATTCCAGATGCAGTTAAGTACTGCTTTCTTTGACCTCTGTTAAAGCATCAATCTTTTTATTGCAGCTAAATGATCTTTCAAATAAGATTTTTTTGCCTTTCTGGGCTTCCATAAATGATCTCACACGCACACCTTCCTTCCACATGGCCGTGTCTTCGTCCATGTCTTCCTCCTGCCTTCAACCTATGGCTATTGTTGCTGTTTTTCCAAATCACTTGAGCTTCAGTTGGTTTCATTATGGCTACGAGAGGCGCAACGATGATGATCGTGGAAATTGACTCGCTAACTTTTCCTTTGATTCCGTTCATTATTCGTGGAAATAATAGAAAAATTAAGGTCTCCCAGAGCCCGTTGGAAGAATCGCGAAAACGTCCTGGCCTCGGCGAACGAGATTCAAGAAAATTTTCTGCTGTTCACGAAAAGATTCCTCATACAGGTAATGCTCGATTGTATTGTTTATAGTAGCTTCGATGTCTGCGTGATTCGATAACAGATGTCTGTCTCCCTCCATATCGCGTTCCTCATCAATGTCACCAGTGCTCATCATCATCATTATCATTTATTAGCCTCTTTTTTACATTCTAGATGGCAAGTGAAAAACCAGTCAGAAATCCGCTAACCGAAACCGCATTGTTCCGTCCACGCGAATCAGTCTAGGTAACGTAACAAATTTAGTGAGATTTCCAAAATGCCCAGATCCATGTGCACGAGACCCCGGCCATTTTCGCATCAAAATCGATCAAGTCAAACAAACATGACATCCCTCATCGCTAAAATACTCGCTTGTCTGGTGTAATGATGGTATATACCCATTGTGTTGCAGACCGTCGCCTGGAGACCAGGAAACCGAAGCCGGCCTGAAACCAGCTTTTTAGACAGGTTCAGAGCACATACATCTCGTGTAATTGATCTCATTTGCATCTCCAAGCTTCAAGTTCGCCTGAACTCGAAAATTCCTTCCGTGCGTTCGTTGAAAGGGAAAAAGAGATCAGAAGCGCGAATAAACACCAGGAAAATTGATCGAATGCTTGCCAGCTTGGTTTTGAATTTGTAAAAACAGCAAATATCTATGCTGTAGATCATAACTGGCCAGGTCTCGTTGATATCTGATTGTTCATGATTTGTACGTCAGATATTTGGCATAAATACCACTCGTGATATTTCAAAATTGTCTCAAATTTCACTCGCCTAACGGCTCGTGAAATTACGTATAACAATTTCGAAATATAACTCTTGGTATTTATTGCAAATATCGCTACAAATCATGCTATTACCTATACTAATTACCCGCCAGCTGTAATTCAGTATCTTTCTCGCTTCAAAAACAGAGGATAGTCAAGAGTAAATTGTAAAAAAGCGCGCCTGAAAATACTGCATGAACTTTTAACACTTGCCGGATCTGAAACCTCTTCTCTTCTCTTCTTTTTCCACTGCTATAGCGGCTTAGCAATGAAAAGAACTTCCCTTTAATTTTACTGGTAACTTGCCTAATTTAACACATAATTTAACATTTTTTTTATGTTAGATAGCCTTTATTAAAAAAGATGGCGGATCCAGAGAATCAAGACACTGAAAAGGCTCCAAGTCTTACCAAGGAGTACATAATCCCTGGAATAATCAAAACTGCTGAATTTGTAAGTTCCTTTTTTTAAATAGTATATTATACATCCCCATACCAAGAGAAATGCCCATACTGATGAGGCTGACGTAAACAGCCAAGCAATTAAGCGTTTCTTTGCGAGCTAAGTCAGAGCTAAGCGCGAGTTTAACTGAGTACAAATTTAATTTTAACTAGCGAGTGGAACAGTGTAAGGGTTGAAATAAGATCAAATACACCCCACGATGTCAAACAAAAAAGCAAAAAAACAAAAACAAAAACAAAAAACGAAGAGAGAGAGAGAGAGACTGAGAGGAAAGAAAAGAAAAAGAAAAATGTTGTTAGCTGCAAGCAAAAAGTGCTCCCTTCCAAGCTATCTAGCCCTTGAAAGTTTTAACCGTTTGAGATATAAAACTTTGCAGGAAAAAAGAATTTGGTCTCCCAACAATCGCAAGTTTGTCGGATTTCTTTTTGGCTTGTTACATCTTTTTTCGTCAAAACAAACTCAACTCCTGCTTCTCTTTTAATCTAAAGACACAAAATATATAGTAACGTAAAATCTGCTATTGTTTTGTATAAGTAGTTACCAAAGCACCCTCTTGAAGCACCTTTCTTGAACGTACTATCTTTCGACGCAGTTTATGTTTTGTTCTTATCCTTTTAGTTATTGTTGATGATAGCGTTTTCCTTGGCTGCCGACTTTAAAGGTTCAAGTTCCTGGGGGCGGATGGACTTTTTTCTCTTTGCCACCATCACCTCGTGGCTCTTGGTTATCGCCAGACTTGTTTCATGTTGTTGTATCGCCTTCGACGCGATATTGATATTTAAACTTGCGATCGATTTCACTATATGCGGGGACTTGCTGGTAAGAGTCTCATATTATGAAAAAAATTACATGGTTGAATACTGTGATAACCATCTCCCAGCTTATTTGGTGTTATCATCTTAGTCACCTTTCCCACCAATTCCAAACACCACCTGCTCACGGCACTTGGGACGATAATAGTATACTAAGTTTCTGTAGCGACATTTTGAGTGGTCCTTTGCAATTTTAAATTTGTCACAAGATCCCCCATTGGCACCAAAAGCTTTGAAAGGACTCAGTTTTCTCATTACATATTCGAAATAGGAAACAAGTTATATTGCTCGAAATTACCAAAAATTGTTAAGGCCATTTATTGGAGGAAGTGCTCGTAAAAACTCCCGCAGGCGTTCAGATAATGGAGTGCGGCGCGAAGTAAGAGAGCGAGGGTTAAAAAAGGAAGGAAAGACGTCACCCTCTCGCTGTTTTTGCTGCTCACATCTTTTTGCGACGTCCCCACAATCTGAACGCCTGCAACGGACTGGTAAACAGAATTAGCATGTCACTGCCGCATGCGAAGGAAGTCATATTTTTGCGCCAGGAATAAAAGGCAGCGTACTGTTCTTTGATTTTTTTGGTCTTCAGTTTGTCAGTTTTGGATACCTAGTCTACCTGTTCCCGTATATAGAAACCAAAACACAGCTGGTAGAACGCTGTGACTTTCTTGAAATTACATTGTAGGTGATGATCTTCGATGCTGTTGTGGCAGTGTTTCTTTTGATCAGTTCCTCTCTGATAGCTGATGATGCCAGGAGATGGAACGACATTCATGGTGGTTATCGCCCGTCTGGATTTTCAGTAGATAAGCTGATTGCAGCAGCGGTGTGTAGGAAAAAACAACAAACTATAAACCTCTCCTTTGTGACACCTCTATTGAAGGGACACCTCTATTCAGGGGGCACAAATTTGGTCCCGTTAAAATGTTCACATAATCTTTGTATTTGTTACCCCTGTTGAAGGGAAACCTCTATTCAGGGGAAAGGGGCACCTTTTCTGCGTCCTGAAACCTGAGTTTAACATTCATTCAGCGCAGCGGATTCCTTAGCACTCAAAAAGTTACTGACCACAAAATTATTGACAAGTTTAAGTATACACGTGTCACAATGCAATGCAACGGCGACAGCTTTCAAAGCATGAACTATCTCACTTAAATGGATGTATTCAACTTGTTGGAATTCAACACACACTGCGTCGCCGAGATAAATCAATTATGATTTTTTTATACATTATCTAGCTGTTTGAAATAATGACTACAGCAGATGCCGAGGTACAATAGAAGAAAAATATTTACCTTGTTGGTTAATAATTAACAAACCCCAGCCCAACCTCCATTCAGCGGACACTTACCTTGGCCCTGAGGGTGTCCCCTCAATAAAGGTTCCACTGCACATGTTGACATGTAACTGACTTTACGCAAAAGGGAATGGGAGGATGCAAAACACTGCCAACCTTAAATTTTGTGCATGCTGAGACATGCAAACTTGGGGAGAGGGTATTCACCAACCCCCGCCGGCCTCTCCAGCGTCATAATGACTTCAAATTACGTCATTGAGTCAATCACATTTTGCCAAGATGTTGGATATGATGAGAACACGATGGGCTTCCTGTGAGTACATTATTCTATGCAACTGTGGTGGTCGTATCATTTGAGCGGTTTTGAAGTTTTACAAAGGAAGGAAGGAAGCAGAAAAACGTCCAGAACGTCTGCTCTGAATAGGGTTAACTCGCTTTAAGCAACAAGCTGCCACAACAAGTTTTGAGATAAACGTTTATGCAACGCTACGGGAAATTGCTGAAGTGATTCTTGTGCCTCCAAGGGTTCAGTTTCTTAAGCCTTTCTTAATTTTCAAGACTGCAATATTGTAGGGGCCTCTGTCAAGATCAGTTCCTATGGAGAATGTTCGTACAGACACATGAGTTCGAAATGTTCTGTCTTAGATTAATATGTCTTATTTTTCTTTCCTCTAAGGCCTTTGGATTCTTCTCCATGGTTGCATTCATCATTGAGGCTGTGTTTCACTTCATGAAAATGCGAGGAAAGATGTGATCAAATGTCAATCAACTGTGGCTCCTAAAATTGTTTGGTCAACTGTTATCAGGGGCACCCAACGAGAATATAGTTCACTTAAACTTAAACACAGCATTGTTAAACGTAGATACAGGCATATTTTTATCCCCTAAAAATTTTTCATCTGGTCGGATTTCCTAGCTGAAAGTCTTAGTGATCCGAAAATTATAGGGATCAAAACTTACCTTTTCGAAAATTTCAGCCAGAAAAAAGGCTCCCGAAAATTCTAGGTGAGCTTTTTAGGGTAAAAATCCATTAAAATGGGCAATTATACCATTTTTTAGATGTTCGAAAATCCTAGGAGAGGTAGGCAAGCAAGAAATTTTAAAACAAATGTTCCGAAAATTCTAGATCTCAAATTGTCTACTGAACAGATATTTTCCGAAAATTGACGTTGGGTGCCCCTGTGTTATGACATATTTGTTAATTCCTGTTTTAGTTCCTGTGGTAAATGTTTGATGACAGGAGAAAAGGTTTAGTTCAGAATTAAAGAACAATAATATAGTGTCGCGATTGTATTTAACTTCAGTGATCGATCGGACGAGTACCAGTGTTTTGCTTGTGGTATGGTCCTAGACGAAAGGGAGAAGCGAAAAGTTTACTTTAATTTTCAAACCGCGAGTTACTGATGTGAACATGTAACAGTGATGTAACGAAGCAGCTACTGCTTACATTCAAATAAGGTTTGCTCGTGTGAATTGTTTTCGAGCGTCGTCAAACGTTCAGCAAGTGGCACAAGTTAACTGAAGTTAAGTCGGCGGTCAAATACAGTATTTGCTTCTCTTTGCAATTGTCGGACCGGCCTCTCTAAAACCGCAGACCGTTTTAGCGCCAGTCCCAGCCAGCTGTGTCCGTTTCACTTGATTGTTTCGGCCTGAAAAGTAGGAGTCATAACATCGCCTACCAATAGACCTTTTTAGCTTGTATGTTTTGCATTTCAACTTAAGACCACGTGATGCTCTCCAGGGAATTTGCCTTTTGTCTTTTCATAAATTATATATGTATACATGTACATACATATTCAAGTGGATGCAAGTGTATATGACGACATTTGAAAGAAACAGTTCTCTGGGGTAACAGAGAGCAAAATATCCAATATGCAAGCTTTAAAGGTCTATTGCGAAACCGGCGTGATTAAAAAACTCCTGTTGTTTTCTTTTGCGAACTCTTCCATTTTAACAAATAAAATGTTAAACGGGTCTACGTTTAATGAAAAAATGAATTCTTGCTACTGATCGCGAACTATTCATGAAAAACTGTGATGTTTGTCAGGATGTGCACGAAAACTCATCACAATCGGCACACCCACTCACAAAACAAACGGAGAGAAAACCATGCTCGCCATACCATTCTAAAAATTGCGACCCTCGATCAACTCCAAAGAAAATTTTCCTATAATCACTGTTTAATTATCATTCTTTTAAAGCTCCGGGGGCTGTAACATTTATCTACATAACCACTATAATAAATGAACTGTAAACTCTAACATCACTTGCTCGAAAGTAGTTTTATCTCAACATAAAAGAATACTGATTCACAAGAGCCTCACTTCGAAAACTCCCAAGGAAAGTGACAAACTCTCATAGACATGCCTCCCGACCAATGAACGAGCGGGAATTTGGTCTGTTATTGTTAAAAAGTAGGGAGTTCAAGTTAGCTCAGTTCTACTGTAAAAGTGGAGTACGTTTTTTCTCTTTGCCAAGTGTAACAAGATATTCTTAGCAGTTTGAACTCTATTAGTCAACACGTGACCCTCTAGACCTGAACTCTTAAAGAACACGGTGATGAGCAATAACCTGCACCAACGCAAAAACAAACGTTATTGAGTTCTACCATTTTCAAGAAAGAAGCGTAATTAAGAAGCGTCTGTGCTAATATGTAGTTCCAAGGTTGGGCGTTTACCAAGAGAGGTGGCAAGCCGTCAGAATAATGACTTTTTGCGACCCTAGATCTCATTCTGAGCCATTGCTGAAGTCGCTCAGACTCCTAAAATTCTCTGATATAATTCATCTTGAAATTCTTTCTTTTGTTTATCAGTGGTACCATAAACTAAGCCCTTCTTGTTTTGTTGATTATTTTTACCCAGTATCTTCAATTCATTCATAAAATACACGTCAATCATAGATTGATAATCTGTTTGTTAAATCTGTTCATACCACTCAATACGGCATTCGTTCTCTCAGTTACACTGGTCCAAAACTTTGGAATTCTTTATCTATTGATGTTAAGAAAGCCGTTTTCCAATTTTCGTCAGCATATCAAGAATTCTGTGATTGATGGTTATAATACTAATATTGATTCCTAATGTTTTACGATTATATTATCTTCACTACTATTTAATTAATGAAGTAATGCTTTTTATCTAAAACAACTATTTTGCATCTATATTCCTTCTACTCATATTCTTGCTACACAACCACAGGTAGCCCAAGCTCAAAATATGAGCATCGGCGAGCATCGGCATTGTTGCATAACATCCAAAATATAAGGCTTTGTATGGGTAAAAAAACCTATCGTTTCTGTAACCTACGAAAATGAAAGGATTTCAATAAAAAACAGCTTAACTTACTTAAAATGTGTGTTACATCTCTCCTGGGTCCACGGGCCGATTTATGGCCGATTTATGGGTTTTTATGTAAACGGTTTATATAGAGACAGCTGTAGAGAGAAACCCTTTTACACAAAAACCCATAAACAGCCATAAATCGCCCGTGGACCACACAGGAGAGATGTAACACACATTTTAAGTAATTTAAGCTGTTTTTTATTGAAATCCTTTCATTTTCGTAGGTTACAGAAACGATAAGTTTTTTTTCCCATACAAATCCTTATATTTTGAATGGTACGCAACAATGCCGATGCTCGCCGATGCTCATATTTCGAGCTTGGGCTACCTGTGACACAACTGACTAAAGATCACTTGTTGATAGATCTGTTTGTGCTTTGTCTGTTAGGAGGAAAAGGGTTTAAGAGAGTTTAAGCAAATTCTTGGAAAAAAGACAGATAATCATGTTAAAATTACATACCTTCCTGTTTTATTACGAAATAAGGAAAGCTGTGTCACTGTTCGGATTGCGAACGTGTAAAACCCGGTGTAAAACAGCCCAACAATTTAGTAAAGCGGCCGTCCTTATTCACGAGTCAGTGGTAAATCTTAAATAGCGGCAGCCTTCTTTATTGTTTTCCCTGTTCCATCTTTCTCAGTGGTTGCTTCATAAGAGTATGTTTTTATTTTTTCCTTTTTGATCAGACGGACCAGACGTCACGTATCATAGTGCTGCACCTGACGGAAGTGATTTCGCAAAAGTAACATGACTTCCGGTATTGGTCCATATTGAAGGCCAAATCACGAATAATCGTCAGTTCTTTACCTATACAAAGACAGCTGTAAAGGTTATGAACTAATTAGGCAGTACCCATACAACTTTTGCAAAATAGCATATAATAATTCAAAGTAAGCATAGAGGCGGAGGGTTATGTGAGTTAACATAGTTCATAAGCTCCGGTTTTTGTTCTGAGAAAATACAACAATTAGGATCACGCCTGCTGTGTGACCTTTGGCATGACGTTTTAGCAGCTCACTAGATCAGCTGCGCCCACCCACAAAACATCCATATATAAATCCTGCTCGTGCGTTTTGCCGTGTTACAAAGTTAAAGTGTTCCTCTTTTGGCATAGGACATCATACAGCAAGAGCTCTTCGATAAAATAGCCGCAAAGATTAAGGTAAGCTAAGCTATTTCCCAAGCTCTTATTTGACATGCAAATATATATATCAACTTTTTCTACGCGTGTAACATGTGTCAGGGGCACCCAACAATGGTTTCCTCCTAAATGCGTTTAAAACAGTTTTTAGGCTGTCCAGATTACTTTCAGATCTCAAGAAATACATTCTAAACGGCGCTGTAAGATTTGTATCTGTTCGGTCATCTTAGGGCAACTTGACTCTTTTCGAAATTACAAGGGCCGTCAGTATTATTTTCCAGAAAATGTTGGATGCAATTTTCAGTTTTACGAAAGTGAGAATTTTTCTGATTCCTCGAAAATTTTAGGTTTTCTTCTCTACGATAAATAGGCTGATTTGAGGAATGAAATGCAACAAAATTAATCTTTAGACAATCGTAGGGAATTCATTACATATGCTACGATAATTGCACATGGTGGAACGGTCATCTAGAAATGTTTAACCTTCCTCAAGCTATAGAAAATTCTAGGCAATTTTTCCTTCTCCGAACAGATATTTTACAGAAAACAATCGTTGGGTGCCCCTGATGTGTATCGATATAAATGTACTAGCTATTTTACTGCAGCCGATCTATTGCGAATATCGATTTGAGCAATTGTCATACTTAGGCAATATCGTGTATATATGTTCACGCAGGACGCTAACATGAAATGTTGCTAAATGTAGCTATAAATGTTTCGCAAGTTGCTACAGCACGAAGTTTGCAGCTTCGCGAGCTGAATTTGGATATCTTTTCAAAAATACTTTATCTGAGACTGATGACCCAACTGAGAGTGTCTAAATATCGGGCTACATAGAGGAAGAATGGGCAAAAATATGCCTTTCATTTCATGCCACATTTGTTGAAAGTAACAACTACTAGATACTTAAAAATGTTGGCGTCGTGGCGAAAATGAACCGTAAACTGAGATAGTTAGTCACACGGACTCGCACTGGAAACATTGATATACAGCAGAAAATGTACTAATTTTATCAAATTTATGTGAACTATACACATAACTTATATCAGTGTTTGTTTATAAACTTAAGATAAAAATCCCAAGGATTATTCGATGTGTTGGAAACTGGAGTCATCATTACTAAACTTCTCGAGTTTTAGATTTGCATTTGTTATTAAAAGAGAACAAAATCCAGTCGTCTCCCGATAATTCGAACCTTCAAGGGAAATAGAAAAAAGTTCGAGTTATCGGGAGGGTTCGAGTTGTCGAGGGTAAAATTATATAGAAAATGATCTAAAAGGAAATGAAAATTTGCTTCGAGATAGCGGGAGGTTCGAGTCATCGAGGGTTCGAGTTACCGGGAGTTGACTGTAGGCCGAAAGGTGACCACATTTCGTGATCCGCGACACCGTACCAAGAAACCACCGTTATTGTTTTAGAAACTCACTGCGCTTCTCTGGCGCATGAAGGGATTGTGCTCTGAATGGGTTTTTTAATTCGAACGGAGAAGCCGTCTCCGCTTTGATACAAATCCCTTCAAAGATGACGAAACAAAAACACAGACAAACAAGTAAATCATTTCGATTTGATAAGCCATGAAGCGCTTGGGGACCGTTTGGCTTTGGCTTGCGTGCCTCCACCCAAACCGCAAAGAGACAGTGGTTGCAGTGCTTACCGGAAATGGTCGCTTTCGAGAATTGAGCCATAGGAGTCTCTTCTAAGAAGAGGTCCTATCACATCTTTTTTTGAAAGAGAATTGCCTGCGTAGCTGGCGGGATTAGCGTGAGTGTGCTGTATTAGGGAGCTTTAGCAACGATGACGGCGACGGCAACGAGGACGTCAAAAAAGCAATAGGTTTATTACGCAAAACAGAAACTTTGCACGTGCGTCACGCATTTTTGTTGCACGACTACGACGTTTTACGGGGGACGTAAACAAGCGACGACGAATTTCTTTTTCTTTCCCTAAACATGTTGAGTGTGATCCTCAAGAAATCTACTCCAGGGAAATTCTCCTACATGTGACATTTTCAGCCAATTAGAGTAAACGTGACAGCGTTTGAAAAAACGGGAATTCATTTTAAAGCTGACGTTTTCGCTGCAGTTGCCGTCGTCGATGTTAAAGCTCCCTATTGTTTTCGCGGCGGAGCCGCGAGAAGGGTGGGTATACAAGTCAACTTGATGTCCGATTTTCCCTCGCGGTTCCGCCGCCAAAAAACGTTCCCCGGGCATAAGAATCCCGCCAGCTACGCAGGCTAGAGAATTCATTGCACACAATTTCTTGGCTACGATACATATGTATCCATGTTGTCACTACTTCTGATCAGTGCAGTCGATAAAGTCGATACTCGATAATAATCAATAACGATCGATAAGATTGACTGATTCAATTGAAAATCAAAATAGGAAAAATTGTTGCTAATCGATGATTATCAATTTTAATTGATTTTTATCGAAATTATCGAATTTAATCGGCACTTAAATTTCCATGTGTTTTGGCGATTTACATTGGCAAAAAACGTTGTTTCCTGAACATATGTACATTGTTTCAGTGGCTTTGAACGGGTAAATTTGTGGCGAAATTTATTTTACAAATTACACTCAATACTAGGACTGTAAATCCCGTCGATTTACGTTTCTGCCGAATCTAAGTTGGGGGAAAAGGAGAAGGCCGGGAAGGAGGCCAATTCGGCACAGTTTCAATAGCGTTTCGACTTGGCGGATGAAGAAGGCAAAGAGTGCTCAGTGGCTATTTAATTATATAAAACCGATCAGCTAAACAAGCCAAAGAAGTATAATTCGAAAGTAAACGGAGGAGCAAATAAAAACACATGATATAACGCCAATCTCTAGCTGTTCGCAAGTTTTGTAAACGAGGCCCAGTGTTCAATGCATTATTGGGTTTTGAAGCACGAAGGTAATAGAAGATCATGAACTCGATGATATCGCTAAAATTGTTACTCGTTAGCGCTGACAACAAGCTAAGTTGTTGCTATCGATCTCTATCGATTGACCCAAACTGAATCGATATCAGTCAAAAAGTGATTATCGACAATTACTGATTTATTGATTGGTTTCCGATGTCGGTTTTTATCTATTGCACTAGTCAGGACCAAAAGATCTTCGCATACTCTGAGTGTTGAGCATAGAGAGAAAGCCGTGCGTCAATTGGTCGCCTACAAGAGGCTAAAACAATGGAAAATTCCGTAAAACCGTAACCCCAAAAAGTGGTCGCGGTCGCTTACGAAGAGGTGTTCGTCTGGCGTCAGTTTCCAACTGTAGTCAACGGTGTAGTGATTTGACTGGGGAGATTTTGGTGTTTTGGATAGTCGACGGTCGCTTATGGGAGCTAAATAGTCGCTTACGAAGGGTGGTTTCACACCGAGGTTCAACTGTTCTTTAAGTTTATTACAGACAGATTCCGTGTTGCCGTGCTTCTGTGAGGTAACAGATGACGTCAAAGTGTGGTAAAAACAAAAAAGTGGTACACTAACCACAGGCGAGTGTGTAATTGATGTTCTTACCACATTCCGATGCCTTCTGTGAAATATTACTGAAAAGGACGCACGGTAACATGAAATCGATTTGTTTTATACAATCAACAGAAAAGAAAAACGAAAAATAATTTGCCTTCGTAAGTGTTCGAGGATTTGTGCCAGTTGAGAAATTTTCCAGATCACCAACGGTACTCTTCGTATTGATGGTGTGTAGCCTGTTTACAGCATTCCTTACATTGTAGAAATTTGCACTGTTCAAGAGTTTAAAGATTGCGGAAGAACACAACGCGCTAATCTAAGTTATTAAAAAGTAAGTATTTTCCACTCGATTACCTCTTTACTGACCTTCACTTGTCGCTTCTCAACTTTTTACCTCCTAAGGCTTTGAAGGTGGAGCTATGGTAAGTCTCACTCGGGTTAAAGAAATTCGAAAGAAAAACAATTCATTTGAGTGGCTTTCCCTTAACTTTCGCGGACTTAACAGATGTTCTTGGGGCTTCGTCAAACGTTCCTTGCCCACAAATGCGTGATGACTAGAACATTTGCGTGGGAGGCGACAAACAATTTGCAAAACGGTTTTCCTTTCTGTCTCATAACGGATAATCACGGTATATTGCTTTCGTCTGACAAACTGTAATAGAAAGATACTACTGTTATTCAAGCTTTTAAAAAACAAGAGGTAATTTCTCATAAGCTTTAACAAGAGGTGGTCAATATCGAACGTTCAGTTATCAAACTAAATATCTCGAACCTCATGCTCGACTACTTTCGACTGGGCTTGCTCCCTGATTCACTGAAGCACCAATTTGTGAACTATGTTCAGTTTATTTGTACAATTGCCTATCTTCACCGCTTAGAAAGTGAATATTATGATATTCTTTTTTACATTCTAGATGGAAAGTGAAAAACCCGCCCAAATTCCGGTCGTTCAGGAAACTCAATCCAAACCTCCCTCTGGTCAACCAGTGCTGTCTCAACAACAACAAGCTTCAGCTGGACAGCCGATTACCGCTGTCCCTGCTCAACCAATTATGTACCAGATGGCGCCCGGTCAGCCAGGACAACCTGCCCAACCGGGTCAGCCGGTTTTTATCCAGGTTCCTCCTGGTCAACCTGCAACAACGCCACAGGGACAGCCAATTCAGTATTACTATGTCCCGGTTGGTCAGCCTGTGCAAGAGGGGCAGAAGATACAACCGGGACAAACGGGGTTTGTTCCGGGTGCTCCTGGTCAGCCTGTGCGACCAGGACAACCAGTTTATATTCAGGGGGGCCCTGGTCAGTATCTGCAGCCTCAACAGCAAGCCGCACAAGGTGGATGTGAAATTAATATCGATACTGGGTTTCTCAAATCACCTCTTTGTTACATCAAGATAGCTGAATTCGTGAGTACTGCTCTTACAAATGTTTTCGTATAATTGGAAATTGATTTAATTTGGTGTGTGTTACGAAGAAAGATAAACAGTGCTGCTTTAAGTCTATTTCCAATTTATGCCATGATCAGATGATCACATTCTAGCACTTGATATAAGGAAAAACATTTCCAATCTTTTATTGCCCCCCATTTTGACTACTGCGTGGCATTTCTGCAGCGAAACCGCATCCGATAAACTACGAAAAGTAAACGAAAGAGCTCTGCGCTTCGTGCTTAAAGACAAAAGCAGTTCTTACACGGAATTTCGGAATTACTTAAGAAACTTTGTGCCGTGTTGTTCTCTCTTAGGTCACTCTTTTAGGAGCATGGGCAAGTATCCTGAGGTATACGAACAACCTCGCGGCCGAAGACGCAAAAGCCAACTTCTTTGAAGGGATCATGATTTTCAGCTGGATTATGGTCATACTCTATCTGATAATTTACACTCTAAGCCTCCCTAAGATGTGCAACTGTAGGCGCCTTTCGTTGTTTACTATAACGGTAAGTTTCTATCTCCAGTCATGACAGGTCTGCACTCTAGCATCCCACGCAGACGTTCAGTTAGGGCTTCTTCACGCGTTACTTCCCCACGTTCGTTGGGGAGGATTGCGTGACGAGGATAGTGTGCACTCATGAACGAGTGAGTTTTTCAAAGAAATAATAGCGAGTTTAAGTCTTAATAAAGCAACAGTTTCAGTTGTAGAGATCGATATTTTACGCTTTTTATCTTCTATAGTACCAAGTACCTGGTGCAGACATAACACTGTTGATCAAATAACGAGTATTAAAAAACAAGAAAAACTGAGCAATATTTTATTATTTTATTTTATTAATTTAGCTGAACTCTATTGGTCATAAAGAGTGACTGGGTAAGGTTTTTGTGAATGCGGAATAATCAAGGTTGACTGAACGAACTCGTTAGGCAATCTTAAGTTTTCGCGAAGCTTTCACTGTAGGCTGTTATTTTCGGGATGGGCGAAAACGAGCCCTGAAAATTCGTGAAAGGTCTTCACTGCTCCTAGGACGACCGAACAGATAAAACCTTTATAGCGATGCAAATTATTCATTTATACTGCTCTTAGCCAATGAGAAGACAAATAATGAGTACAATGCATAATAATAAATGTTACCGGACCTTACAATTTCTACCCTTTTTTTCTTCAATTCCAAATCAGTAACTATTTTCATTTCAATGCGTTGCACTGAAGCTTTGTTTACACTCTACAGGAGAGCTTTTGCGCTTGATGAAACCGATACCGGATAGGACCTCTGATCACACATAACAACGGTGATTTCGGCTCGATTTTGTAGCGGAGCGAAGCCCCGACACGCCGCGCTGATCTCAAGTTGAGAGTCACCTATCGGATAGGTGTTCTTATTATATGGAGGAGAGTGTTTTACTGGGAACTAAACCACTCGTAGATTCCATACGCCACTTCATCCGGGACCCGAGTGGCGTATTTTCCGTATGTCACCTTTGTGAGTGTCGTATCGTTCAATGACGTAACGATTCCCGCCTTTTGCTTTTGTTGAATTGGTTTCTCCATATAATAAAAAGAACATTACACGTTGGCTCGAAGATATGAATTTTATGTTCTCGTGGCAAGAACAATATCTCACTCGTTCGCTTCGCTCACTCGTGAGATATTGTTCTTGCCACTCGAACATAAAATTCATATCTTCTCGCCACCGTGTAATATCCTCTATATACTATACCGGAGAGCTTTTTCGTATCCGCCATTTTGTGAACATAACCTTATCCTTGCATTGAAACAAAGGCTTGGGGCAACTCGATCATAGCCTATTGCGCATTCGCTATCCAGTGGATAGGGATGTATTCGTTGAACAACTGAGGCCCTGTGTACATGACTGCTTTTGTGGACTGATTTGAGGTTTTGTTTTTCAGTCTGTGGTTAATTACTTCATCTTGTTCGCCTTGTTATTGGCTTGCACCGCAAACCTGGTACCTAGAGCTGTGGATTTAGGAAAAGTTTACGAATATTTCACAGATGAAAACAAGGGAAGAGTCATTGCTGTTTACATCGCCTTGGTAGGAATTGTTTGTTTTTGCTACCTAATAACTCGCTAACCAGGGGCGTAGCTACCTGTACGCACAGTACGTACGTTAGCCTCCCACGCAGACGTTCTTAGGGGTTCGTCACGCGTTCCTGCCCCAGGAACGCGTGAGAAACCCTTAAGAAGGACTACGTGGGAGGCTATACGCACGTGCCTGTGTGGAAAAAGTCGATCTTCGCAAAAAAAGTTGATCTTTGCAGTATAATAAAAATATAAAGCGAATTATCTAAAACAGCAAATATAACTCAACAAAGCACAATATTCCTCAATTCATTTAACTCTGCCTGTTTAATTCTTTGAAATATTTTTTTTGTAAAACAAAGTAATTTTTTTCTTTTTTACACCCGAATGTCGGTTTTCAGAGAAGAAACACGTGATTTATTGGTGGAGCGAGATATTTAGAGAAAAGGCAGGGAAAAGTGCGAATATGATATCTATAGCTCAGTTCAAGCTGGATGTATGAAGCATGAACACGTTGTTGTAAGGGGTGGGGTGGGGGGGGGAGGGACGTGGGTTGGGTATTTAGGAAATGGTGCATACTTTTGGGAAAATCTTGCAACGCGCCCGCTAACGTCATTTTAACTCGATGACTACTGAAGGCCGATCGAACCACTGCTATTAGAATCGAAGGGCCACTTATCGCAAGCTTAAAACCCACTTCCTTAAGTTCCTTGAAAGTAACACCACCACTTCCTCAACAGAGGCAAGATAGAGCTTTTAAGAAGGAAAACATCCTTCTCGGCAATCGCCCAAAGATTTCCCAATAAAATTTCAATGAGATTTTCTTAACATCCTTACTTGTCCTTTTGCTTTACAGGCCTTTGGCTTTATTTCCTGTATTTTGTTCGTCGTGGATATGGTACTGAATTATAGGTTATTTCAGACACAGAGAGCGCAGGAGCTTCAAGGCCCTGCTCCGCAAGCCGGACCCCCTCAGAGAAGAGTTTGGGATATTAACTGGGAATACGTGAAATCGCCAGTGTTCTACGTCAAATTTGCAGAATTGGTAAGTCAGTCTACCTTCATACAAGGGAGATAGATCCATGCCCAAGAGATATAAGAAATATAAACATAAATAACAAAACAGCAAAGACAAAAGCGACTTGAGATTTCCCGATAGAAGAAACGTTGTGCTTTCATTTGCCGTCACTAAAGGTGACTTTTTGTGCTATCAAATCCCAAGAAATGTAGTTAAGAAATTGCACTATAAAACCTTCATCTCTCCAATACACCATTCTCCAATATCCTCCTTCCTGGGTGTTTAAGGCCAAAATGATTAATAATAATTAATGACAATGATAATGATATCCCAAGAAATTACTGAGTCAACTTGACACTCGATCCATGTGTACGGATAGTAGAGACCCGTTTCCCTCATCCAAAAAGAAAAATTAAGGAAATCTTGGGTAACTTCCCCTACCTAGCTTTCCCCTCGTTCTCGACGAAATGATTTTAATCATATAATCCCTTTATAGATCGGCCTTGAACTTGTGTAATAAAGGATCTCCACGAAAAACTCTCGATCAAACTTGTACTCGCATGTTGTCTTGCTCAAAGAGAAAAAACAAACCAACAAACACCACAAATAAAAAGCAGACGTTTATTTGGTAACACTACACATGAATAATAATTTTAAAAAAAATACGGTACTGAAGGTAATTCACAGAAAGTCATTTGACTTTGCTGCTTTTTACATCTGACAAGGCCTTACTGTTTGGAGCGTGGGTGTGCATGTTGAAATATTTCGACATGGATTTAATAAGACAAGCTGAAGCTGCTTCCTCCAGTGGTACATCATCTTCAACTCTTGATCTTTCAAAAGAAGAATTCTTCAGAGGAATCACTATTTTCGCCTGGGTGATGGTCATCCTCTTGGCTCTGATATTTATATTCAGTTTTGACAAGATCAGCAGTCGTTCCTCACCTTGGACCCTGACAGTAAGTGATCATGACTACTTACCCCTCCCCCAATATCAACTCCTTTATCAGCCCTAACCTCCAACGCGGTCAAACGCCTGAGGCGTTTACCTGTTTAACTTTCATGAATAGGTTGAGTATGATCGTGCGGGTGAACGTAACCCTGAGTAGGACTGTTGTTGTTGACAGTGATTGACGTTTCGACAACCTGTGCGGTAGTTATCTTCAGAGTCAAAGTGACGTGTATCACGTCAGTTGATGGTATTAAACTCTGGTTATTGACCTGATTGGTCAATTGGTCGCGATGTTATTGGTCGTCTGTCAGTTAAGCCGTGATGTTATTTGATATTGGCTGTGAAGACTGCTCGTAATATCTTTCCACTGTTCTCAAAATATTAAGCCACGTTGCGTTGAAAACGATTCGCGACCAAGTAAAACAATACCAGAAAATGGCGCCGAGGGAAACACCTGTTTCAGTTTCCAAACACTCGGAACTTCTGAAAGAAAAGAAAGTTTACTAAATTGACAGCGTATTTGTAAACTGGAAATCGTAAACTTTCCACACTGAAAGTAGCAACCTTGACTTTGAAGTACTTTGCTTAGCTTTTGTAGATTAATTTAGTTTGACCGCGTTGAGCTCTGAAGCCTTAACGCCAACGAGACAAATATTTCTCCTGTTAACTTCTCATTCCGCTCCCTGCTTCAAACGTGCACACTTTATTCTCAGTTGTGATTGTCTTATTCAGGCGCGGATCAGCACCAAAGGCGGAAGTTCTAGGGGAACTGGTCCGTGGACATGCGCGCTCCCTCGGGAAATTTTTTGGGTTTAACTCCCAAAGGTCCCCTTTCCTGGGTTCCTGAGTCATTCAGACAGGATATTGGCAAAATTTCAACTTGGAAAGTTTTTATTATTAGTATTATCATGATTACCCAAATTTACAATTATGCGTCTATTTTTGAAAACTGTGATAAGTCTCTAACTGTAGATTCATGCATGTACTCTGCGGATAGGCCAATGAGATCGGCGGTTGGCTAACTGAATAGTATAATCTGATCCGCATCCTCCCTTTTTGTAGATTTTTTTGTTTTACGTTTTCCTGGCCATCTTGCTGATTGCTTCCTGTGGAAAACTCACTCCTCTTGTGGTGGACTTTGCAAAGGTCTACAAAAATGTATATCCCGATAAGAAGCAGTACGTTCTTGCTCTGTTTATTGGCCTGGTAAGTGACCGGTTATACGCTATTAATACCATCTTGACTCTAAATTAGTATATTGAGACCACCTACCTAAAACATCGTTTGAGCCCCCTGATCAAAAGATTTTTCCACATTAGCATTGTCATTATCACCGTCATCATCATAATCATCATCATCATCATCATCAGAATTACCATCATCATCATTATAATTACCACCATCATTATCTTAATAGTTCAGAATTCTTGTTTGCCATTGCTTTTCGGATGGCTAGATGGATGAGCGGGATACAACTTTACACTAATGATCACCAAAGGTCGGAGTTGTCTATTTGGTGGTCGAGCCTCGATGGTTTTAGATTTTTTCATAGCTGCACAAATTATAGTTTCATTGCTACTGGCTCCAAGAACAGAATTTACGAAGTCACCTTAAGTTAGGATTTAGCTGCTATGCCATGTTTAGACTTGAGCGTGCTACCGAGGTATTGGAGTTAACTTACCTAGGTAAATATTTTGCGTGTGTAAACGCCAACTGATACCCTGGTAAACACCGCTCAAGACATCTGACAGCTGTGGTCACACTACAGACTTTTTACCTAGGTAAACACGACTTGTTGACAGTTTACCTAGGGAAACTTGATTTTTTTAAGTGTGACCGATTTTTCCCTAGGTAACTTACCTCGGGCAAATTTTATCGTCTGGGTCTTGGATATGTCTCGAAAACAATAGAGTTTCCCTTGACAGCTACCCCAAAGCAATAGCTGGGGAAAAATGAAATACCGAGGTTGCTAGCCAATAGACGCTCGTCGGCGAAGGTCTTGATGACAGAACCCGACATTGATCAAGCTGTGAAAGAAATTTTGGGAGCACAAGTCGTCTACGTCTTCGCCTTTCTTCACCTTGCACGTTGAATTAGAGTGAGAAATAACACCGAGATAAAGGAAAAAAACGTCTCTTTGATCAGCTAGATCCCTGCGCATTTTGCCTTCTTGAATTTACGCTCCAAAAAATTTAACAAGCGTGAAAATATTGGGAGCCGATATCAGTAGTGTGACCTTCCCAGAATTTTTACCTAGGTAAAACAAAACCCGAGATGAATTTACCTAGGTAGATTTTTGATGAATTTGCCCTAGGTAAAAAGGGTTTACCTAGGTAAAAGTCTGTAGTGTGACCACAGCTATTAAGTTAACTAAGGTAAAAGTTCGGTTTACCCTGCGAGCAGGCATGGTTAAGGTCGGTAACCAAGGTTTGAATGACAGATACATCAGCTTGCGGTCGCATATAATTTCACATCCTGTGGTGTCGGGATTGCGTCAGTCTCATTCGATCACGTTTTCGAGAGCAGGTTTTCGACCAGGTTTCCACGTTTGGTTTCAGTCTACGACAAAATTTCCGTTTAATAGAGTTTCGAACCAGAATTGGTTTCTCGGCCACGACCACGCACGTCTAACGCGCCTTGTCCTGCGAAGGGCAATTTGTAGCAGAATTAATCGCTTTCACCTCGACCTCTTTAGGTGCTCCAAAAGTAAGAGCTTCTGCAATCTCGATTCCTGGGTTTGCTGACCAAGAACAAGAAAATAAAACGCGAGGACTACAAGAGCCACAGCTTCCCTTTTAAATGCGAGCATTTTATGAGTGGATTTAGAATTTGCCGCCAATTAGATTGTGATTGATGACAGATTTACCTTAGTAATTTGGGCCCGTATAAACACTGTACAAATGTACCAGGGTTTAGTCAGTTAATGTTTACCTTGGTAAACGCTTGAGTGTAAACACAGCATAAGAGATTTTCTCATATAAAAATAAGTTGTTTACAGTACAGCAGAGGTCATAAAAACCTCACCTTTACAGGTATCAAGTGAACGTTCCTGTTTGCAGCAACTCATCAGCGTTATTTCAGTTCCAGATGGCGTCAGCTAATGTGAAGTTCGACAAAAGGACTTTGAGACATCCCGAGATATTTTTATAGCTATTATGACAGAAAAATACGACCAAATCCGAGGAAAAATTAATGAAACATTGTTCGACTCATTTGAATAATTAATTGTTGAGGTTCTACACCGATGAAGTTAATGTTTTGCAATTTAAATATATATCTCGTTTTTCAACAGGGTTTGGGCTTCATCTCCTGGATAATATTCATCGTAGATATTACTTTACTGTACAAGTTGTACCGTCAACAACGAATGCAAGAATTGCCGCTTCAACAGGTGCCTGCAGGCCAAACAGTCGTCCAACCTGGTGTGGTCATAATGCCCCAACAGGCACAGGGAGGGCAACAGACAGCCTTTCAACCGTCTGTTCATCCGGGCCAACATGTAGTTCAATATCCGGAACAACGTCCCCCACACCCTTAAGAACCGACTCAGAAATAAAAGGCTGTGTAGCAGCTTCATTTTGGTACATTCTAGATAGCCGTATTATACGCTGTACGTATTTAGTGCTTTATCGCATGGTAGGTCATGATACTGAGTATCAGACAGTGAGTAACGCATATTTTTCGTTTCAAAGACTTAAAAGACAGGAATACCTGCGTACGCATTTGAACAAAAAAGTTATAATATTAATGATTTATATCCCAGTAACAGGTGTTTTACAATGTACCGTTAAAAAGTGTTTTATCGTAAGGCAAGGCAGCAAAAAGCCCGAAACAAAGTCGTTTTTTGCTGATTTACGTCTTGCGGTACCTGAGATCCTTCCTGTTGTAAAGTTCGATTGCCCCGAGTCGGTCACATACATGTCTATATTAAAGCGCATTGAAAGTTGATTAGAATTGTTGTTGTCATTTCCCATTGCTTCTCTCAGCTGTTTGAAGAAATCTGGTGAGGAAAGAAACTCATTCAACTCAACATCTACCGCTCCCCTGGCCGAAAATTGCCCGTACGCCTATGCATCTAGTAATTCAGACTGATAAACAGCTCCCAAGCCAGGCATTCCAGCTTTACCCCGCATTTTTGACCACATGTACTTGAAAGGAACTGGATTAAAATAGCCAGAGAAATAATTTCCCACTCGAATTTTCCAACCCCAAATTTCCGAAACAAAGCGCTTGGGTATCCAAATCCACAAGCTTTGCAAACGTTTTGGTGCCAGTATCTTACAGATATTATATCAAAAAATAGTCAAAATAATAAAACAATTAAATATGGTTTCTTTTTCATTCCCCCTAAATGAGTTTCTCCGTGATGATGTCACTGCCAGGAAAAAGAACCAAAGGTTTTCACGCTAGTTGCTATGAAGTTAAAACCTTTTTTCGCATCAGTTGCTTTCCAAAACTAAATGGTTTAGTTTTTGAAATTGAAGACTATATTAAGGCACTAAAACTGCTTTCTGTCGTCTGTGCCATTGAACTCTCCTTCACTGGTTTTATTCTGCATGCTGTGTGGAGGAACCTGGGCATAGCCTGAGAAACAGCCGACTTTTTGTTGCGCCACCAACGGGTTCCCCACGAAATGAGAGTTGAATTAATTTGCCGCGTTTAGATATGTAATTTGTTGGGATTTGTGCAGATTTCGGCGGGGCAAAATGACTACGAAGGTTCACCTTGTTCTCTTTCTTCTCTTCACTTGTACCGTGACGGTTTCGGCAGTTGAAGATAATTTCCAAGGCGAAAATGGTGAGAAATTCAGCCAGCAGAACGGTCCTTCGTATACTTACGAGATTATCCGAGAGACTGACAGGCAAGTAATTTGAAGTGATGATGAACATTTCAATAGGAGCTTAATTATATTTTCAAACAGTTCGATTTCTAAATTTTCGGATATTGGATAATTCCTCGTTTCTTCTATTTAATCCCGCAGCTTTTTAATCAGTTATACTATTTCAAAGGCTCCACATTTAATGCGCACCTCGGGGTCATCTTTTCAGCCGGACCACAACTTTCTCTTGATACAACGATACAATTGCCCGTGAAAAATGTTGTCTCTATCCTCCAGCGAACCTTCCTCGGGGAAAACACTTTTTCCAAGCGAACGAAGAGAAAGTGATTCCTTTCATTATCGTAATCACGCCACTCATCGTATTCGTGGGTATCAGGTCGTTTCGCCCGTATTCGTGACTGAATCACACGAAATGAATTTTTAGCTGTTTTTTCGCGTCGTATCCCGCTTCAACAACCTCAACTTCATATAAATCCCTGTCTGTTTTGCGTTTTCGTTCCCCTTTTTCCATCTTTTCTTCGCAGAGCTGACAGAATTCTTCCACAAAACGCCGTAGCCTGCAGTGCAGGCGTATTTTGGGTGGGCGAAAGCTTGTTAATCGGATCGCTACGATGAAGCCGCCATCTTTGATTCTATGACAGAGGAAGATTGGGGAGAGTAGTAATATTAACCCTGATGGTAGGTGTGAGGGCAAAAAAAGAAGAGGGGGGAGGGGGAGGAAAAAAATACGCCTGCCCGATAACATTGTTCTTTTGCGAAACGCCGTACGCTGGCAAACGGAGCTCCTGATTGGTGCGGCTTGGGGGAGTAGATTGATGTCTGTCAATCAACTGTAAGTTTTCTCTTCTTTCTCCCCGTCCCCTCCCCCTCCCCTTGACTCGCCCCATTTCCTCCTCTCTACGGGAGTTTCAACACGGCGCTTTCGCGATTAAAACAATTCGCGCGCGCCCGATGAAAACGCCTGCACTGCAGGCTAAAAACGCCGTGGAGAACATTACATTCGCTTCGATAGCCCTTCGAACAGCAGACGCATTTCCGGTCGTCCCAGGGAGAGACTCAGCGACGACCGGAAATATGTCTGCTATTCGCAGGCTATCGCTTCGGTCGATCGCCCATGTTTATTTGTGATGGTGAAACATAAAACCTTTGTGCACGCACTGTAGCATACACCCCATGTAAAGATCACTGAAGAGCAAATGTCCTCATTTGTGGGCAATGAGTTTGATATGGAGAGAGTGGTCGCTTGCGGGAACCATAAAACGAGCAAACGACCAGCGGATGATTCGCAAAAGTGGTCCCGGTCGTCCAAGTTTACTTTGGAGTTCGAACGGGCTTTCAGAATGTCGTAACGAGAGCGTCAACACAACTTCGTTTCCAGGGCTCTGTTCTTGGAGATCCCTCCTGGGAACGAGGTTGAGCTTCAACTGAAGATCATTTGTTGTTGATAGAACTGTTTGTGCTTTGTCTGTTAGAAGGAAAAGGGTTTAAGAGTGTTAAAGCAAATTCGTGGAAAAAAGACAGATAATATTACAATTACATACCATCCTGTTTTATTACGAAATAATGAAAACTGCCTCACTGTTCGGATTCCGAACGTGAATAGCTAAACAATTTAGTAAAGCGGCCGTCCCTATTTAAGAGTCAGAGATGCGTAGATAGAGAGTACGAGTACAGATTTTAGAAATAAAATCAAATAGGTTGCCACTTGGTTGTCACAAGTTATGGCGGCGGGGCAGGGACGAGACAATCTGGGGACTAGAACGTTAGTCCCCTTCTTATTTCTCCTCACAGTTAGATCAGATAAAACGTCTGTTGAAATGGGAGAAAAATAAAGGGATATTTTTTCCCTTTTGACAAAAGGAACAAACAATCAATCAAGTATAGACACCATCTTTAGTGGGAAGTTAATCGCTATATACGTTAAGCAGAGTTGAGCCAGGATACAATTACACAAATCCTGCCCCCCCCCCACCCACCAAAACCCCTTCAAAAAGTAAATAGATAAAATTCAAAATTTGTCCTTTGATTAAAGACCAAACTAAGTTTTAAAATCCCTTTTCCCTTTTTCTTTTTCCTTGATTGCGGTCAATCATAATTTTAGCGAAGCTATTAGTATCACATGCTTTTATCGTATGGCAGAAACTCGCAAAGTTTTAGGGAGAATGGCCTAATGAAAGGGGTTTGCGTAAATGAATGAAAATGCGTAAATGAATGAAAGGGGTTTGCGTAAAACGCGGAATCCAAACACCCACCCCGAATTCTGATTAGAGTTTGGAAACTAAGTGAATCAAGTTTCAAGTAAGCTTGCTGAGCGTTAGTGGAACCTGATACACTCATGTATTCCTCAGCCTAATAACTTAACTTCAGATTCACGCGGCTATTTTTCCGGGGTGAAACTGAGACATCTTCGGGTTGGCGGAAACATTAAGCAGCCTCTCCGTCATGAGAATTACCAGTGGTTATTTTACGTTACCACCTGTCTTTTTTGGTTTGTCTTGTTTTGTTTTTTTTTTCCCTAGGGACGAGAAGCGACGAGATAATAACTTCCACCTTTCTATTTATGAAGAAACATTTCCGTTACTTTTTCCTTTGAAAAATATACCTTTTTTCCGTACTTTGAAGATGTTCTCTACCTACCCTCTCCGAGAAATTTACCGAGAAATTTACCGATTTACCGAGAAATCGGACCCGATTGAGTTTCCCTCTGACAGGATCAGACATTCAGAAATCGGGCCCGATTAATTTAAAGCGAGTCCGATTACTTTATCGGGCCCGATTTAACAAGAATTCAAGCCCGATTAGTTTTGGAATCCGATCTGAAACATATCGGACCCGACTAGAAAACGGACCCGATTTGTTATCGTGCTCTATAAAACGAAATCGGGTCCGAGTTGATATTCGGGTCCGACTGAAAAACATCGAACTCGATTACCCAGAAACCGGTAAACATCCGGTAAATCTAAGTAGCAGCCCTCCTTTTTGTTTTCCCTGTTCCATCATTCTCAGCGGTTGTTACATAAGAGTTTGCTTTTATTTTTCCTTTTTGATCAGGCGGACCAGACGTCACGTATACGTAGTGCAGCACCTGGCGGGAGTGATTTCGCAAAAGTGGCATGACTTCCGGTAATGCGTCTATGCTGAACCCTATATAATCACGAAAAATGGTGAGTTCTTTATCTATGCAAAAGCAGCTGTTAAGGTTATGATCTAATTAGGCAGTACCCATACAACTTTTGCAAAATAGCATATAATAATTCAAAGTAAGCATAGGGGCACAGGGTCCAGAGGAGATGTGTTTGTCATTAGAACATCAAAACCCGTCGAAAACCTCTGAAAAGATGGGTTATTTTGATCGCGTTACAGTTTCGTTACACATTCTATAGACCGCAAACCAAGAGACTGAGGGCTCGCAAGATCGGCTTACAGTATAAAATACTTTCTTTTACTCGGCACTTCGTGCCTCGGTCGCCCTTCGGGTGACGGGCTTCGGTCACCCTTCGGGCGACGTGTCGTGCGCCAGCTAGGATATGGCTTGCGGTTATTGATATTTTAGAAGCGAAGAAATCGTTTACAGTAGATTTATAAAGATCCCATTGGGCTAATTAATCGTGCTAAGCGACAGGTATAGACATTTTTCAAGGTGAGACTTTAATAACTTCCGGTTTTAGTTCTGAGAAAATACAACAATTAGGATCACG